CCACATCGGGCCTATCTCTTAATCCCTCCAAATGTTTCGAATGTCTCTTTACATTATCACGCTCTTCTGTTCCGGGTGAACCGGTATCGATTGGCTCCGAACCAGTATCCCGGGTAAACTGTATTAAATACTTGGGTGTTTCTATTGATGCTAATCTTCACTGGACCTCTCACATTCAACACATCGTCAGTAAGCTTCGACGACTTTCTTTTCATATCCGCAAACTTCGTCAGTTTCGTATTCAACAATCAATTATTTCCAACTTNCTCTTTAAGAAAGATTTTAACTTGCTTCGACGTGGATTGACCATCATTAGCCGTGTCTCTTCAATCCCACTAAAGAAGTTAATAACTAACCCTTGCGAACGTCATTCGAATGCATGTGAAAAGTTTGCGCACAAGATTCTCATCGACTCCATACATCCGCTACACGTTGATCTAACTTCCTGCTGTTCCCATCCTTGAACTAGATCACAATATCGTTGTGTTCCCTCTAGAATAAACATTTATCGCAATTCCACAGTACCCTCATTAGCACGTATTCTTGTTAACAAAGAACGGGTTTTCACAGAATTTAACAGTTTTGGAACTTAAATCTCTTTTTTCATTGTTATTTTCATTTTCTCCCTTGCTCCAAACTGTATATTTTTTTAACTGAAATGTGGGCTTCGTGCTTGCAGAAGTTATTACAATACAATACCGTACAACAAGTGATATGGACCACTGAGGCCCTCAGCGTGAGTCCACTAGACTACAAACCGCCTATTAGCCGCAACTCAACAAGAGAATGAACGATTAAACCGAACAGTTCCCACAGAAGCTACGAAACCTCGTCATAGTTTGTAACCTTTTGTCCGCCGCCACAGCAAAGCATCCTAGAGTCTACCCGCGATGCTTTTATTACGTTTCTATCCAATAAAATCGAGAAACGGCTTTTAGAAACACAATCTTGCCCATTAACCCAGAATCGAAGATGCTATATAACAAGCTCAGTAACATTCCTCACTCTAAGACACATCTTCCTACATTCCATGAAATGCTATATTCAGTCAGATACAACTGTTTCTGTGTCTTGGAACAAAGCTTCAGATCAGTCATATCCACATCTTGTTTTTTCTGTGTTCGATAAAGACACCGTCGCAATGACCAAGTTGTTGGTAAATCTTGTGAAAACACGAAGCACTTCCAGGCGCCTAGTCGACCCAATTCCCAAAACAAACCAACGGTGTCCACAATAAGCCGCATCGTCTTGTTCCTATGTGTTGCTTCATCTGTTGAATGACCCAAGTCTACAGTATCTGTTTGCAACAGTGGAGTACCGCCACAATCACATATCCAGCCGAAGCAGTTGCCTTTTCGCAGACATACCAGTGATACACCATTGGTGTAAGGCGCTTTATGAGTGACGCAGATACCTTTGCCTTAAACCATTCTTGGTCACATCTTCGACATTATTGGCTATATAAGAAGCTACTCTGGAATAATGAAACGATCCCTTTAGAACAAACCATATACCGATATTATTCTGCGCCTAGTCATTTGTCTTCTAACTGCGCTTCCGGTGCCACAAAATCACTTCTTTATTCTCCTAAAAGGTTATCATTCACTGAAGCAGAAATCCGTGTCTCACTGGTACAGCAGATCACCGAAACTTCGCTCAGTCCCTCCAGCTGCTGAACAGTTTATTACATTAACTGAAAAGTGAAATCTACCCAAATGGTTTTAGATCACTTCACGTGCAACACATCCATGGGGCCCACACATTCTAATGATGATAAAAATAATAACAGTAATCTTATATTGATATTCAATTACTCCTACTTTCGATTTAATAGACCTTTCAAACGTTCATACGACTACCTCCTGTGTGAAGATCAGTCAACTTCTTGGATGTAGCTGATAGTAAATTTTCATGTGTTACAATCTATGGCAAGGTCCGGGCAAAGGGAACCCAGTTGTTACTCCAGAACACCCGAAATATGTAGACCGATAAGGTCAAAAACTGGATAAATTATCTCTTGTTTAAAAATGCACAATCTAGGCGATTGATATGAAAGCTTTATCTTGAGGAGGATCTGCGCAAAACGCCGAAGCACACTGTGGCATGTCGCAAAACAGACCCACCGTACCTGGTGAGTCAGCAGCTAATGACGAATCGACTTACACAACCCCCACACCCCGAGACTGATTGGATCAAATTCTGATCCGACTACGATGGATCGACTTCGTGTTTGATAGTTTTATTTGGCTGCAACAGTTAGCTGTGTGCGGACATAAAAGTGATGGGACTTGGCCATTGAATCAACCATCTTATAGCGGTGAAGAAGGGAAAATGTGAATCGCATAGTAAAGAGGATCCAACTTTTGGAAAATGGCATCCTAAGCCTCCAGAGAGGGAGCAGGTAAAACACACTAGGTAAGTTACATAGTATGTGGTGATTTTTGTCCTGGACAGAGCAAACGAAGCACTGTTCAGCTTTTTCGACGAGCAGCCGGGAGACATGTGAGCACATGAACTGAAATACTCGGAAACAAAAAAAATAATAAATCAACGGCAATCAATGAAGCTTCGGTGTGCATGAACACCAACTGATGTGCGACAGTTCGGCCTGCTGTCTGCCGGCTACCAAATAGGAAATAGTAGCTCAAAGAATGCAAAGGTAAAGTACTACTGAAATATAAATTGGCTGTAGGAGAATCGCGCGGCGACATGCATAACACATGCATCAGCTACCGCAACCTACGCACTTGCGTGAACAGACGCATCAAGATCACAAATAATTGCTCAAAAACGACAATATTCCGACCCGGACACTTAAAAAAGGGCTTCCGTTTGAGTGCTAGTTGTACGGTCCAACGAACATTGGCCACAGAAAGACTAAGATTCAAACACAAGCATCGTCGGTCCGCAACGATTTTAAATTTCCTGATAAAGTCGTATGAAGTTCAGTACTACAAGGGTTACGATAACGACAATTTGTGTATCGCATGTGACGGAAATCCAAGGGTATGCCCAAAACAAATTTTGATTGTTTGACCATAGACTGACTACTTGGTAAGAAAATCAACAACTGCGTGCACAAACAGAATGTCATTGATAACAATGAAGAAGAGGGAGAGAGTGGAGTTGTAGATGAGAATGCACTCTCGCAATCGTGATGACTGAAAACTGAAAAAC